CCCCAAAACCCCAAAACCCCAAAACCCCAAAACCCCTCAATTTTCAGCCCTTAATGAATATAACAAATATTCCTAAAAAATGGCAGATTACAGCCCTGTGGCTCTCTCAGACCTGGAATTACAGTCTTCAGGCCCAGAGAGAGAAAGAGCGGTAAAATAAGGGTTAAACTGGGATTGGGGTAGCTGGGATTTAGGGGGTTGGAGGGGGCTGGAGGGGTGGAGATTATGGGGTAGGGAAATGGGTTTGGGGAGTAAAAGGGAGATTAAGGGGGTACTGGAAGATTTGGGGTGATTGTGTTGTGGATGGGGTTAAGATATATTTTGGTTTTAGAAGCATGATTCGATGTTTGTTCAAGTAGTGGTTGAGAAAGAACCATTCTTGGCCTATTGTTATCACTGTCGAAAGACTACTCTCACGAAGGTTAAGACAGAATGTAACTGAGAAGCTGTTCCTATATGTTTATGCTTTACCATCTTCTTCATCTTTTGCTACATATGTTGTATTTACCAATACAATATGACTAGACCAATTCATCATCACTGAGGGAACTGTAACAATAAGCTGTTTAAAGTTGCCAACAACTTAATTTCATGATTCTCTTTACTGAAAGATCTTGAAGATGGAGACACGTAAGCTAGGATTAGTTGACAATCAATATTTCATAGAGCCGAAAAGACCCATGAAAACATGAGAGAAGCTTTAAAGAATGAGGAAGAGGTAACAAAAATCAAAGCTAAAATTGAAAAAGAAAAACAAGAACTCAATAAGATCAAAGAATTAAATAAACCAAAAGACCTTGACCTTAAAGACCCTCCAGTAGTCCCTGACTCAAAAGAAATCAATAATGACGACCTCCCTATAGAAACCCATCTCCCAAACGAAACCAACAATGACTCCATCCCTCCCCCAAAACCCTCTAAACCTCCCACATAACCTTCCATTCCTCCTAACCCTCCTTCTCCAAATTCCAATTTCTCCCCGCACCAAAACCTCCTCCTTCACAATGGATATTTTCCATTTTCAACCCAAAATCTCTATTTCGGGGTTTTGGGGTTTTGGGGTTTTGGGG